GCGTCGAGTTCATGGTCTTGTAGGTCTCCTCATCAGGGTGGGTGTGGATGTGTGGCTTCGGGGAGTGATTTGAGCCCGAAATTCTGGCCATGTCTCGAGCTTGACCTTGAGCTGTGGTGAAGTCGCATCCACCTCTAAATGTTCAGCTCACAACGCTCTCTGTAATGGGTCTGGACCAGAGCTGGTGCTTCAGATGTAGAGCAAGGCTGCATCTGGACCCAGTCTTTGCTATGATATGACCGAGCCCAACTGTGTTTATTGTTTGGGCAAACAAGCTGTTTCCTTCTATGAACCATCCTGGCAATCCCCAGTCTCCAGTAATGCTCTCGATGGTGACCAGGACTGAGAAAAGCAAGGGGTGCTCGGGCTTTGCACCTTAGCAAAAGCCTGTAGAGAAAAGAGGGAGGAAGGGAAAGTGGGAATGAGAGGGAAATGTACAGGTGGCAGCCATCTGTGATCTGAAATGAAAGTTGTCAGCTTCACAAAGCTTCTCAGTGTTATCTTTTGGAAACAAGTCCATCTTTATTTTCATAGTAGAGCTTGGGCTGTCTTCATCGCACTCCATTACTGCTTCCTGACAGGGCCCTCTTGGCTGCAGCCATGGGTCTTCAGCCCGAAAGGGTGGGTTACAACTTTGCTTTGCCTGCAGGATAGTTTACCTGAAACAACACTGACTTCTATGTGTTGAGTTTTCCCGCTTAAAAAAATAAGTAAATAAATAAAACAAACACCCGACATACTAACTGTGCTCTTAAGCAGTTGTTGTAATTACAAGGATTAATTATTCTTACTGTTTTCATCTTTTGTCAGGAAAACTTAGCAAGACTTCAGAGAGCATTTGCAAGGAAGTGGGAATTCATCTTCATGCAAGCTGAGGCCCAAGTGAAGTGAGTAATCCTGGAGCACTACTCTGCACCGGTGTTTAGAGCTGGGAAGGGAAGGGGATTCTGTAAAGATAAAATTTCTCTGTCAAAGTCTTTACTGTGACTAAGCTCAGAAGATGCTGGTGAATTTTAATCACCAGCAGACTAGAAACAATAGACAAGCAATTCTGAAGGTTTCTGCCAGAATCTGAAAGATGTATTTAATTATCTGTATGTGGAAATGTTGGTGAGGAGCTCCTGAGCCTGGATTCACCATGGCAGCTTGGGCGATTCACTTGCCCATTCTGCTTCTACTGTTGTGTAGTATTTTTGTTTTGTATAAACTGAAAGAACAGAACTTTGTCATCTGTCTGTGTTACTCTGTGCTTGTGAAGTATTCCTGAGTTTAAAAATACCACCACTTCAAAGAGATTATAAGAGTGGGTATGTACAGTAGACTAGATTTGGTTTTCTCATTTATACAAATCCCCAGTTGACTCCATTGTACCTCTACTCTCTGCAGTCTGACTTGTGCTACTAAATTAGTGTAGAGAATTGGGTACTGCTTACATGAAACTTACTTGGATTTAGTATTTGGGTTTTTTCTATCCTCTGCTCATAGTTTAAATTATGTTTTTTTATCATCTTCCCTTGTGAGAACAGTTTGAAGCTTCTTAAGGTTTTAAGCATGTTTTCATTATTGCTGCAAAATGGGTACGGTCTAGGGTGCCTAAAACCCTACGTGTCCATTTTGTGCATGTAGTTGTCACCTATAAAATGGAAAGGTTGGTGAAGAGGGTGCCTGAGAACACCAGTACTGACACTGTACCACTAGAAGGAATTTGCACTTTCAGCATTAGATGCTAAAAAGTTAAGGAGCATCATTTCTTGAGGGCGTGGCTGAGGTATGTGTCTTTATCTTTGATTAACTCATTGGAGTTTTGATTAATTCTTCACTTAATAACATAGTAATTATGCACTATTTAAGTACATGGTAATTATCATTTAAATTACAAGGTAATGAAGGGATTTTTTTCTGACCAGAACACCAGTCTTCTGTTTGGAAGACAAAATTAGAAGTTACAATAGCAATTGTACTTTCAGCTACTTAAAGGTTTATTGCCAAGATGGAAAAAAACCCACAACCTTAAGTCAAAACAAAACTCTGCATTCTGTCTACAGCATACAATTATTACATAAGAAAGAAATGTAAATATCGGATTCTTTGTGATCATTGTTGCTTATTCATCTTCTCTTCATTACATTTTCTTTGAAACATAACCATGGACCGGCCACTATCAAGATTTTTTGCTCGCTAGTTTCAGCTTCTTGGTTCACAGTTCATGCGATGGTTCAGTCTTCAGATTTCCAACAAGGCAGCCCTGAGTTAACTAAAAAGGAAAAGCAAACAAAAATAGCTGAAAACATTTCTTATGCCTAGCAAGTTCTGCTCCGCCTTCCACATCTTTGTTTGCACAGAGAATACCATTGCAGTACCTACATTGCTCAAAAAACGCAGCCACAGAGCATCTATGTTGTATCTTCTTAGCTTAAAATATGAAATACTGGGTTTATCAGTAAGTTTGGGGATTTGAGCCAAGAGCCTGGGTTTAGCACAAAGCACCCGTGAAGCCAATCCATGGAGCCTCCAAAGGGTCCCTCTAGTTTGTGCGCACTGTGTGGTGTGAGGGTTGGCAGAGGACTTCACCTTCCCCTTTGGCCAGGCATGAAGGGCTTGCTCAAAAAAACAGAATTTTCGGGCCAGGTGTCTACGTTTGCAGCACAGCACAGTGACTGCTATCAGACAGCAGAGACAGAGCCTGTGCAGAGCTGGTTGCTCATCTCAGCCTTGCAGGGGGGATATTCAGAGAGCAATACTGAACTTTGGAGGACTCGGGATTTTTGTGGGAAAGGGCGTTCAGAAACCTCAGTTTCGGTCCTCCGTTTTCTGTCCCCTTGGTAGAAATGTCTAGTGCAGACTGAGCCAAGGATCCAAAAGACAAACAAGAGAGGGGAAAACCTGATGGTCAGAAATCCCAGCTCGCTTGGGTTTTTTCCTCACTGCTTTGATTTTCCTGGGTGGCAGCAGCACGGGAACCCAGCACAGGGACACTGCCAGCTTTTCAGTCCTGCTCTGGAGGAGAAAGCAGTTCCTCCGTTCCTGTGCCTCATCCAGTGTCTCTGTGGATAGATCTGGAAAGCCGGTGGTTACTTTGCTGTGCTCATGTGTAGAGCTGAGCACCAGACACGCATTGCTCTATGCTGCCGAGAGACGGGGAACGGTTGCTTTGAACAACCTCTGGCAACCCTTGATGTGTGTGCTGAGTGAGATGATGTCACTGGCTGCGTCAGGGCTGAAATTATTGAGTTGCAGTTGTGCTGGCCCAGTTGCGTGTCTCTTGGATGGGCGCTGGCTCGTATGAGGCCGTGCAGCAAGCTTGTCTCCAGTCACCTGTCCTTGTCACCCCTCACTCTACTAACACCAGGACAGGCAGGCAGAGCTCAAAGAAGGGTGGTCCCAAGTGCTGCGTGTGCTGTTGCTCCTGAGAATGCCTGGGATAGCTGCCCCTTTGCAATCTGTGCTCATACCAGCTGTGCTGCTGGGGCACCAGGGTGCAGTGGGACCTCCCAAGAGCTTCACGTGGAGTGAAGAGGTCCAGGGGGGTCTCCTGACAGAGCCCAAGCCAAATGTGAACTTCCCCAGCCTGCCAAATCAAGGTCTGGGAACAGAGCATCAGGAAAGGTTGTTTTCCTCACCAGATGAAAAAGCAGACGTTAAAATAAATTTTCCGTCTTAATAGGAAAATCTCTTTTGACTTATATTGGAGCAAACATCAGTGATATTTTGTTCATGATGCGTGACCTTGCAAGCAGGAGTGTGACATTTCTGTGGAGTTAAAACCCCAGCTAGGAACTGTAACAAGAAAGCGTTACTCTTATGTTGACTCATATGTTTATGCTTTTGTTTTCAGAATCGACAGGAAAAAGGATAAAACAGAAAGAAAGATTTTGGACAGCCAGGAAAGAGCATTCTGGGATGTGCACAGGCCTGTGGTAAAGCTCTTTTTCAATGACGAGACTTTCCAGGTTTTGACAGGAAAGTTTTAATACTGGTAAACACTGTGCCATGTATAGTACAGAGACATTGCTTTGAAAGTCACCACATGGATTTTGCTCACAGTTCAAAACAAGCCCAGTGTCTACAAGATTATTTTAAACATTCTAGGTTTGTGCATGCCTAGAAGTATTGATTTGGAAATATATGATAAACTTGAAGTTTTGAAGATTATTTAATTGTGCATACAAAAGAAAAGCAGCTTAGCCAGTTTGGCTCAGGCTTCTTAGAAAAAGCTCTCCTCTTAGTTGAGCGATTTCCTTTTGGTGCCAACGTTATGAGTAAATGGATTTGATGCTGCGATGCTGTCTTCGGGTATATGCACTCTCTTGTTTAGCAAGCATGATTTATGGAACACAAACTTGGACAAGATCTAATTGTTTTGGAAAGGTAAGATAGCACGTGGATTGTAAACAGAGGAGTAATACGGTTACCATCTCTTTTCAGCCGGGCTGCGTGAACACCACAGAAATGGACATTAGAAAGTGTCGTCGTATGAAAAACCCACAGAAAGTGAAAAAGGTCAGTTTGAGTTTCTGGTTTGGTTTGATTTTTAAATGCAAATCACACTTGACGCTTACAGTATATCGGAGTTTCCCAATAGGAACCAAAAGAAGTGTTTTGCAAATAGCAGTTCTGTTTTGTTCTAATCTGTGAATTTACTATTCCTGTTTTACCAGCAGAGCGGTACAGGGTGGGTGACTGGTATGGCTGGGAAGGGCATTAAGGAGCTATGTGTCCCAGATGTCTACTGGCTCTGCACTCCCATAAAATTAAAAACAATTGGCAAAAGTACCTAGGTCCCATTTTCAGAAATCATTTGGGCACAGATTTTTCAGAGCTATTTACTTGCCTTAATCATTTCAAAGGCTGGATCACTAGCAACTTGGATGCCTTTGACTTCTAGCAAGTTTTAGCTCTTCTGTGTATATTTTAGTCTTGGAGGTGACACTGGACTCCTGAACCTCCGTTGGAAGTTACCTTGCAGCAGAGCTATTCATGTCTCTTACGAATCTGAAATAAAAAGCAGAAGCAGTAAACAAAAGGGTAAAGTGATACTGCTTTCAGTGCAAGTCTGTGTCCTAAAAATGAAAGGCCACAAGTCAATCTGCAGGTTTTCATTTTGAGAGGTTCGTTTGAACCTGACCCACTAATACCTGGTTAAGCTCTTTCTCCAAAATGTAGTTTTATCACAAGACATTAAACCAAGTGGAAGAAAATGGCATAGGATTAGGTTCTCGTCTTTTCTTTCTCTACTTGGTTCACCACAATGACCATTCCCGGCGTTCATCCTGCAAGTGTTGACGTACACAGCCCTCAGAGCTCCTAAAAATTATCAGCTGCATTTTAACATTTAAATCTTGTTTGCAGATTTAATGGTGCAGGCACCTGCAAGCACAGACTGATCTGTCAATTTTGCTCCAGGCTGAATGATTATTGACCTATGTGGATATAAACAGTAGGAAATCGCTGGCTTGTTACTTTGCTGTTTTGCATACTGCGCTTTTCCTCGTTGCATGGCAGAGAAAAATGCTGTAATCTCTCCTGTGTGTTTCTCTGCACAGTCAGTATATGGGGTTACAGAGGAGTCTCAGCCCCAAAGCCCTGTACACATGCCCTCCCAACCTGTACGCAAAACTACAAAAGAGGATTTCCGGAAACAAGTAAGTAGATGGCTATACAGCAACTCTTCTGAGAACTGTTATCTGCAAAAACAATATATATATATATACAGTTATATCGTCGAGAGAGGTTCTCCCCCCCCCTCTACTCTGCCCTGGTGAGGCTGCATCTGGAATATTGTGTCCAGTTCTGGGCCCCTCAGTTCAAGGACAAGGAACTGCTTGAGAGAGTCCAGTGCAGGGCCACAAAGGTGATTAAGGGAGTGGAGCATCTCCCTTATGACGAAAGGCTGAGGGAGCTGGGTCTCTTTAGCTTGGAGGAGACTGAGGGGGGACCTCATTAATGTTTATAAATATGTAAAGGGTGACTGCCATGAGGATGGAGCCAGGCTCTTCTCAGTGGCATCCAATGATAGGACAAGGGGAAATGGATATAAGCTGGAACACAGGAGGTTCCGCTTAAACACGAGGAAGAACTACTTCCCAGTAAGGGTAACAGAACACTGGAACAGGCTGCCCAGAGAGGTTGTGGAGTCTCCTTCTCTGGAGATGTTCAAAACCTGCCTGGACGCGTTCTTGTGTGATCTGATCTAGGTGGTCCTGCTCCGGCAGGGGGATTGGACTAGATGATCCTTTGAGGTCCCTTGCAATCCCTAACATTCTGTGATTCTGTTATGGAAGTGTCAGCAAAACCAATTGTATGCATTACCTGTCCTTGATTCTCACATACTTAATGTAAAGTAGTAAATATTTGAAGATAGGTGTCCCTGCCCATGGCAGGAGCGTTGGAACTAGATGATCTTTAAGATCCCTTAAAGATCAAACCATTCTATGATTCTATATGTATACTAATTGAGCAGTGCAGTTATATGATGGGTAATACTGACCTTTGAATCTAATATTACTCTCTCTCTGTGCCAGTAGACAGATTAATTTCTACATCACTGAGGATATCTGAAAAGTGGGCAGTGACAAAAGCTAGGGAAGAAGCCAGCATACTGGGGCACAGGCTGGGGATGGGCAGTGAGGAAAGGCATTGTTTGGTGCATGACTGTTAGGCTTACAGTCAGAGCTTTTAGGGAACTGGGAAAAATTTATTTGCATAGTCACTCCGAGCAACATCCAGCCAACTCACACATCTTTGCCCTGGCACAGAGAGTTCTCTCTTGAAATTACTTTCCTGCAGCACGCAGCACTCTCTGAAGTATAGGCAGGAATCTCTAGGTCAGCATTTTAGTAAAGGCAGTTTTAAACATGTTTCTTAGGCAGCCAGTTTTAGGGTGGTCTTCTGAACTAAATCTGAACACTAAATTTCTTGAGCTTTTTCCATCATAGGCAACGTAAGCTGCAGAGCAACGTGAAGAACTAGCTCATAGCAGAGTGCAAATGTGCTGTAAAACGTTATTGGCCTTGCGATGCCAGTCAGTTAGAGAAATGGAAAAGAGGAGTGTGGTGTAAAAAGGGGGTCACGTTGCACTCTGAGTAGTCTAGGAACCTCAGCCTCAAATACGTGCCTTTCCTACTTTTAATTATGTCTTGTGAAGCTTCCTCTGGGGCTTTGCCTTAGGAAATGGAGACTCCTGTTGGAAGCGGCTAATAAGCTTCTTCTAATACCTAGGGAAGGGTCCCATTTCCTTCCGAGTTATTTTCAAGCTGTTTGGAACAAGAAATCAATAGCGTGCTGGGATATGATCAATGCATGCTGTAGAGCTCCTGGATTGTTAATGTCCTTGTCATCTCTCTCTTCAGATAACTTTTCTCAACATGCAGATAGAGAGACATTGTTTAAAGATGTCCAAAGTAGCAGAAAGGTAAGTCTTACAGTTTGCACGATTTCCCATTCTCTCCTCATCTCCAGTTTGGCGTTTCCAGAAACAGAGAGCGGGCAGGAACGCACAAAAGCTGGCCCCCTTTCTGTGCATCAGTCCTTCCCCCTCCTTGACCGGCCATGCTGCCTGTCTGCTGGCCGCTGACACTTCTACACTCGCTCTTTTGCCACGGAGAAAAAGTGGGTGAAAAATGAGAATACTCTCATGCTATAAAAGCAAAAGAAGTATTATTCACAAAAGAAAGAACCCTTGCAGTACTTTTGTTTCCCAGCCGTTCACAGAGTTTATTTACCGAAAAGTCATTCCCATTTCAATTTGAAAATACCCTTTTTTCTTTTGTGGGTGAACTCTCAGTGCTCTCTCTTGTTAGCCTGGCACAGCTCTGGGGGAAGAGCTGCATTTGCGTCTTGTTGCGTGTGGTGTTCATGTCTGTGGGGTTGTAGGGCCAGTTTCTGCTCCCACATACATATGTGAAACCCTATGGGAAATACTGGGGTTGTACCTGGACTACTCAAGGCAGTGTTTTAAGAGGCGGATTTCTTATAGAGGCAAATCAAGGCACAATTTGACTTGCAGAATATTTAGTTCTAGTAGGAAAGTATGAACAAGTAAAGAGCAAGCTCAAATTTGAGAGTGACAGCCCCTTTACAATATCTAAGTTAGTTATGCGCATTTGCAGGGGAATCACTGAGACAAACGTAAGGGTGGTCATGCTCTTCGGTAACATGACTTGTAGAGCAAAACTGTGTTGAACATGAGGGATGTGATAAGGGCTGGTGCCTTGCAGAGGAATAATAGAGGAATTTTTATTTAAGCAAATTAAAAAGAGATTACTCTATGAAATGTGCTTTGCAGTGCCTGCACCTGTAATTAGCATGGGTGTGCTAAACTAGGCAAATTAAATGGCAAGAGCCCCGAAGTAAATTCCTATTGGCTCATAAAGTTTAGCAATTAAAATGAAAATTTATCCAATTAAAAAGAAAATATTCAGAGGCTCCCTGAAATCCTGCATACACTATATTGTACAATTGAAATTAACACATTCATATTTATGTCTTAGGCTTTCTGGATCTTATTTATTAAGAAGATACATTTGTGCATTTTGTGGTGAATTTACTTACAATGACCTTAATATACTGAGACAGTAGTAATTTCCAGGCTTATAATTTATAAGCAGGCAGTTTGTTTTGCTTGATTCTTTTCTAGGTGGGTATTTATTCAACAAGATAGACTCAGTAAAACTCATTCACTTGTGAACACTGAATCCTGTCCACATAACACACCTGTTGTTCAAGTTCATACGGTGCTACTGTCGTTATAAATGTAACATTGTCAAGGCTGAAAAACCCTACTATTTTTCAGTAAAACTGGACAGAAAATTTTCCTGGTTTGAAAGGACTTGGGGCTTTCTTTGTTCTTTTTTTTTGGCAGGAGGGGGGGGGGGGTCCCAAATTGGATAAGAAAATGTTGCTATCAAAACCTGTGCAAATTGATAACCAGGAGAAAAGTAAAGAAAATGAGAACAATCTATAAGTTCTTTTCGCCTGTTTTGAAAAATTCATTTTGAAATTATAAAGAATGAAAATCATTGGGATATTTGTGTCTTGTAAAGAAGTGTTCAGTTATGCGATGACTGTGGGTGGCAGCGTTGCCGGAGGGCCCCGGGGCTCGATGTGGAGAGTGATGGGAAGCACAGGCTGGATGTGGAGTGTCACAGAGCAGGCAGGAGGGAAGTAGAGAGGCTGTCCAGTCCAATGGCTTGGGAAGGATGGGGATAGGTGAGGAGGAAGGAATGTGGATGACCTGAGTTGAACTATTGCCCGCAATAAAAACCTGTGCGGCCTGAAAGCCCGATGTAAAACGCTGAATGCACAGGCCAGAAACAAATCTGCTGCGCAAGAGAGGTGCCGTTACCAGCAAGTCACTTTTCAGGCTGGATTCCGCTTTCAGGACTAGTTTAAGTGACAGTGTGGCAGATTGGGGTGCAAGAGATGACTTCTCAGCACGCTCCTTCTGACAGCCAAGACTGGCACCAGCACCACGTGCCACTTTCCCAGTGTGACGCAAAAGCACTTCCAGGTAGGATGAGGAAATAAGGCAGAGAGCAATGGGGGAAACAAGCTGCTGTCTAATCTGGAATAGAATATAAATTATTTTAATAGTGATAGACACATATCACGACCACATACATTTTCCATGAATGCATGCTATTCCATGGGATACCCCTTGTCCAGCAGAAGAGGAATGGAAAGGCTCTCAAAAGATTATCCCCAGCTCCCATGACATAAGTGCCCACTGTTAAAAGGTTTGCTTTCCCCCTCCTCCTCCTCCTTTCCCTTCCTGGACCAGATTTGCAACAGCTGTGGGAGCAGGCGCCTCTCAGCTGCTCATGGCACCTTGGAAATGGTTTTATCCTCGTTTCTTCCACATCTTTTGTCCCTGCTTGGGACCTGCACGCTATCAGGTTTAGGATTAGGAAATGAGATTTGAGGACTATTGAGCAAAACTATGTATTTTACCTGCTGTTTTTCCTGACTGCATCATGCAATGTTGGTGCAATCCCAGTACAGAAATGGCTGGGGAAAATCAGAAGCTACCAGAAGCAATCTCAGCTCCCTAGATGAAAATCTGTCAGAAAACTGTGCTATCCCCTTGGCTTCTCAAAGTTACTGTGAAGGCTCAGCTGGGCCCCCTGCTTGTGAGACAGTCAGTCTCATGGCAAGCTCTGCACCCTTTGGTGAACTCTTCCTTCCCACCACCTCTTCTACAAGAGTTGCAGTGCTTCACCTGAAAGGCCAAAAGTCCAGGTTTGCATTTTGAGAGAAATGCTTTCCCTGCCTGTAGTCTTCTTTGGACAATGAGATGACAATTTCGCTGCTGTCATTATACTGAATCAGCAAAATATGCTTAGCGATTCCCCTATGTTTCATTTAACTTAGTTTTTTCCCTTTTATTTTTCCTAGTACTTGTACTAGCACCTCTGATGCCTTCTTATTATTTTATGAGGAGCAATTCAAGTTTCACAGCAGATATCTCCTGATTGATCCTTTTTGTTGTGTGGGGTTTTTTTTTAACCAACTCTCTCTCTCATTGATGTCTCAGGGATTGCTGCTGCTCTCTGAAATTGGACGCTGCTCCCTCCTCCAACCCTTGACCCACAGCAGTCATGAAATGTAATTAATGAAATGAGATGAGACAGCCCTGAGTGCCCTGAGGGGCAATGGGAACCTGCTGTGGTTACAAAAGTGTATGATTTTAATGCCTCATGATAAGAGCTAGGACAAACAAAAAGAAATAATTACTGCAGAGCGGGTCAGGGAAACTTTCTGCCTTTTGTGACCCTTTGTTTCACAGGGTCTTTTCATTCTCCTGGCCTTTTTGAGGTGTAGAAGAGCAGAGGTAAAGTTTTGCTTGGACAATCACAATGCAAGTAGATTAGTTTTTCAGTATGATGAGACTCAATTAACTCAATTACTTGGCAGACCTAGGCAAAAAAATTGAAAAGTGCCTTAGAGTATTTCCAATATAGACTGCGACAAATTTCTTTTGATTTGTTTTATATATACTGCTTTTCTTTTGTAAAATCAGCCCCCTAGCCCCAACCCCAGTGGAATTCCTGAATCACTTATGCAAGCAGACACAGTCCTTTTCCCAAGAAGCTCTTTGGATCTCATCCTAGTGAGGATTAGAGGCTATGAGTCTTATCTGACTCGTCATGAAGCAAGCCAGTATAAATGCCAGGTGTTTTTCCAACATGCATATCATTTGCTACATTCTAAGTTAATTATTATAAACTACTGTTGAAGTATTTTACAATAGTGCCATTAGACTAAACGGTATAGCAACATAACAAAAAATGATCTGTAGCCTGAAGCTTTGGTGCTTAGGACTGTGATCCTCCAAAGATTTAGCTACAGCACATGACCCTATTTAGATGAGTTACTCATAATGCATGAAGTTAAGCGGGTGCAAAAGTCTGCAAAAACCAAAAGGGCAAGAGGCAATAGCAACATGCAACAAACAAAGAGGAGGATACGCACTTCACAGTCATCCCATGGCACTCTGTGGCAAGTCCTACCATAGCAATCCAGTTGTTGCCTCATCAGGCTTTTTGCGGGCTTCTTGACAGAGACGAGCTTGAGGAAAATTCTGTAGTGAGCTGGTGGGTGCTTGCAGAGAAATCCTTGCATGTACCATCCCTGGGAAAAGGGACTTCTAGGTTGCTGAGAAACCGACTGATAAAAAAAAGTACACACACAGAGGAAAAAAAATAAAAAGCTGTACCTCTCTGACAAGTGACTGAGCATTCAGGCCCTGATTCTTTTTTTTTTTCTTTTTTTCTTTTTTTTTTTTTTTTTTTTTTTTTTTTTTTTTTTTTTTCTTTTTTATATCTGTCAGTTTAATAGCTTACACAGAGCAGTATGTGGAATATGACCCCTTTATAACTCCTGCTGAGCCTTCCAATCCCTGGATAAGTGATGATGCAGCATTGTGGGACATTGAAATGAGGTAAGAATTGATAGTTTTAAGTAACGTTAGAGTTGTCTCATCATTTGATTCGTATGCTCTTCCCACTGCCCCTGTTTGGATAGGAAGTAGTATGTCTAACTTTACAAGATAAATTACATAGCTAAGGTTTAAACAGGAGCTTATGCTTTATCACTTCTTCTGTGAATTATTCAGCCCTTCCACTTGCATATGGCTTGATGTGTGGTGGTCTGTAAGTCAGGTAACAGACAATCTCATGCCTGTCAAGTATATGCACAGACTTATGTCTTAAGAGTCCACAGATATAGGATGCTGCTAAGAGATACTTGTTCCAGCACATCTCCTTTGACCTGGAAAGCCTGCTCACTGGTCCTCCTCCAGCTGCAGTGCTCCAGCCCTGCTCCTCTCCTGGGATCCCATGAAAGATGCCACTGGCAGACTAGGATGAGTTATAGGGCAGTGGCCTATAATCCCACTGTGGATTTGGCACAGGAGCCAGAGAAGTGTAGTGCACACATAAAGTGTGAGACTTGGCAGGGCAGAATTATAATAGATTGACAAAGTGTTTGGGCCTCACTAGTTAGTGAAGGAGCTGGCTTGTCTCTGTTATGGTGTCTAACAGATGAAAAGGAGGAGGAATGACTGCAGGACCTCCAATGCCTTGCACCTCTGTCGTGGTTTTAGGCTGATCCAGCAACTAAAACTCAGTCTCTCCTTCTCCAGTAAAGTGGAGAGGAGAAAAATATAATAAAGGGACAGAGGGTTGAGACAAGAACAGAGGGAGCACCCACCAACCATGGTCCCGGGCAAAACAGACTTGGCTTTCTTAAAAGCAAAACAATTTATTGACTGTTACTTAAAAGGACAAAGGGAAACAAAACCGGTTACTTGAGAGGATAAAAAAGAAACAAAGCCAGATCTTAAAACCAACACCCTCCTTCCCCCAGCAGGGACTGGGGGAGTGCAGGTCAGTTCATTCCGTGCTGTTACTGCTGCTTCTTTCTTAAAGGAGGAGGAGTCCTTACACCCTTTTGCCTTGCTCCAGT